TACGAATGCCAATTGACGAAAATTCGACCTTTTGTACGCGGAATTTAACGCAAATAGAAATTCTTCCTCCTATTGGTGGAATTTAACGAAAAAAATTCAAAGTCGGGCTACTGAACATTCAAAAGTTTTTTAGAATTATAAGTTAACGGGATTTTTGGGCCTCTAAAATCAGTCCTGTCCTGTCATGAGTACCCTTGAGGGAGATAAGCCAGGGGAGCAAAACGAAACTGCCTACCTTGAGTGTGTCACGTCGACGTTCGTTGGCAAGTCGTTCCGTCTCCTCAGCAGCCTCCTTCTCAAGCATATCTGCGCGCTGCTTGTCCTTTAAGGTGATCCGGTCCTGCTTGCGCACAAAAACGGGCTTCAGTTTAGGCGCCATTTCATTGTCAGAGCTGGAGTACTCTTCTTCTTCTTCGTCTTCCTCATCTTCATCCTCCTCCTCATCCGCATCTTGCTCCCCAGCGCCGCCAGCTATCTGAAAGGCAGCTGCCAATTCCTCTTCCTCCTTACGTCTGCGAGCTTGAAGCGCACGCTGTCTTATAAGCTGTAAAGGCAAGAGATGAGGCAAGTAGTTGGCGCAAGGGGACCAGAGATGATGGAGAAAGATTTCCAATACTTGGGATATTTCACTCGATTATCATGTGTTTCTGGAAAAAAAGGTGACTAAGCAGAGAGGTGCAACGGCGAGTGACTGTCAACCACAGCGCAGATTTCAAAAATACGACGAGTTAACCTGCCTGACTAAAGAGCCATTGTATCTGAATACAATTTTATGGAGAAGACGACTCGATTGCTGGGACAATATTTTTAATCATCTTACATTTCGACATCCGCCGTGAATTCATAATCAGATACATTAGCAGAAAACGGTACCAGAAACGAGTCTGCTGTCTGTTTTCCGCTTATGTCTCTTATGATGAAGCCCCGACGGATGTCGATACGTCAGGCAAATAAAAGTATTGTTTCAGTGATCGAGTCGTCTTCTTCTCAATTACTTCCTGGGACTCGTATGTTCGCTTGT